ATTTCGTTTGGTTTATTTTGAATTTCGCGCAAAGCTACGTGAGGGCTATCTGTGTTAGTCGTCCCTAATTTAGCAGTGAGAGACTAGAAGGAAGGCAGCTAGTCATTATCACCCACCACCAACACTTGGGCTACTTTTTTACCAACGAATGGTGGGACTCACCATCACATTATAACGCCTCCACTTACGATCGAATGACGGAAGGTGAAATAATGATGATACCGGTAATAAAAGTGATGATGATGTAGATGAAGACCCAGCCCAGCCACTGTCATCCGTGAAATCGTCGTAGACAGCATTGAAACAAAGCTGAAGTGCGCTGAATCTTATGGACATTCGGCACGCGCAACGGTTATCCACATCTGAAAGATCTAACATGTGGCCAAAGGTGAATCCCGCAAATCGTGCTAATTAAAGTTACTGACTTCTTCGATGCTCATTAACACATAAGTCACCTTGAGGGAAATCGTGCTAACTCTCCGAAATATCTGTATTATGTTCAGTGATTATAATTTATTGATAATAAATTGATATCATTGATCCGATTCTTCGATGCTGCTCTGAAATTGTTGTGAATGCCATCATTTTCGTGACGCTTATGATCTGTAACGATACCTGAATCCCCCAGCGGCACAGTGGTATGTCTACGGGCTTACAACGCTAGAAACAGGGTTTCGTTACCCGTGGTGGGCAGAACACAGACCATTGTGTAGCTTTGTGCTTAACTTCAAACAAACCAAACCGATACATGAAAAATATTCATGTCCATGTACGAATTTTATACTCTTATTATTTTTACAATAAAATTTAATTTATATTTAAATTTGAATAAATTATCTTGTTCTTTGTGTTATTTATTCATGGTTTCTGGCTATTTGGGGGTTGAATAAACATGTTAGATCCAGGTTGGACAGGACATCGCTAGAATATGCCTCACTTATAACGCGGTCTCGTGATATGATCCCGAGTGCCGCGTTTTAACGAGGCTCCACTGTATTGTGGCGGTCAATCCCACTTTGTTAAAGAATAATCCAAGTGTTGGGAGTGGGTGGTGTTGACTTCTCCTCAGTTTTACAAATTAGCAAACCTTGAGCTTTTTTTTAGCACAGAAGATAGAGGGGCGTCACGATATCTTTTTTATCCACCTTGATCTATTACTTTTTGTGGTATAAAAGATATAGGAACGTTGCGATATCTTTTATTAAGCTTAATCTACTTTTTTTTTCTGACATAGAAGATATAAGTGCGTTACGACATCTTTTTATTAGCTTTGATCTAGTATTTTTTTCTGGTACAGTAGATATAGGAACGCTACGAAGTATTTTATTAAACATAGGAACGTTACTTATTTTGTTAATAACCATGATCTGTTATTTTTTATAAAAAAATTACATCTTCTCATTAACCTTGTCTGATATTTTTTGTTTCAGAAGGTATAGGCATGTTTCGCCAGTTTTTGTTTGTTTGTCTTTTGAATTTCGCGCAAAGCTACACGAGGGCTATCTGCGCTAGCCGTCCCTAATTTAGCAGTGTAAGACTAGAGGGAAGGCAGCTAGTCATCACTACCCACCGCCAACTCTTGGGCTACTCTTTTACCAACGAATAGTGGGATTGACCATCACATTATAACGCCCCCACGGCTGAAAGGGCGAGCATGTGACGGGGATTCGAACCCGCGACCATCAGATTGCGAGTCGAGCGCCCTTACCTTATATTTTTACCTTACCCTTATATTTTTTGTTTCCGAAGGTAATAGGTATGTTTCGCCAGTATTTACCAACTTTGATATACTATTTTTTGTTTTCGCCAGTGCAATATTATATATATAACCGCAAGTTACTTTAGTGCTCTTCGTGTATTGTTTGGAAATAATTATTATTTAAATTTCTTTGAATATTTGTCTTCTGTTCATTCGGAATGAGCTTTAAAAACACTATGACATTATAAGCATGCTTCTACTCATTAGGAGTGAGTTTTAGAAAACACTGTGACATTATAAGTATGCTTCTACTAGTTCGGAATGAGCTTTAAAAACACTGTGACATTATAAGTATGCTTCTACTAATTCGGAATGAGCTTTAAAAACACTGTGACATTATAAGTATGCTTCTACTAATTCGGAATGAGCTTTAGAAACACTATGACATTATAAGCATGCTTCTACTAATTCGGAATGAGCTTTAGAAAACACTGTGACATTATAAGTACGTTTCTACTCATTCGGAATGAGTTATAGAAAATACTGGCATTTTAAATATGCCTAGAGGCAAGCCTTATGAAAAAGCTTAAATGCTTTTCCAAGTGAGCGATATGAAACTGTTAAAGTGTTGTTTTTCTACTGCATTAACGTGACCGATCTGAAAGTGTTTTGTTCCGCCGCTTCAAAGTGAGGGTTGTGCTGAATTATTTTTCTGGTCCTACTTTGAAGTGAGTGTTTATAAAACAAAATTTTAATACATTTTTCAGTGCTTCTAGATTAGTTTTAAAAATGAACATTATTGATATAATTTCTATAATGAAACAAAGTGTTTTAAGAATTATTCAGATGTATTTGCACCATTTTACTTGAAATATAAACACTGTGGTCATGATTTTTAAGAAATTAATGAAATAAGAAAATGAACCTAAGTTTTCGAGTTAACATGTATCTGCAACAAAGAGATATACTTGAACGATAATCCAATCTTTATTAGTGTTTGAAGAACAATATTCAATATAAAGAAGTGATCAGAATGACGTGGTTTCAGTTTTCTCACATTTTTTTTTCAACCATATATCTTTTCCACGAACTTCTAATGCTACAAGTAAAGATTATACGGTTCGGTTTTATTTCTTATCTGTACACAATCAACTTTCGAAACCCAGTTCGATAAAACAAATATACGGTAGAAACAAATATGATATACGACTAAAGTCTATGACGTTAAAATATGGGGCTCGATCCCTGCAGTAGACTCGGTGCAGATTGCCTATTCTACGTCTTTGCGCTTAAACAAAACTAGTGACGTAAAGGTTAATATTAATAGACTATGATAATTTGTCATTATTTGGTTAAGCAGCTCCTGTACTTTGTAATTACTCCAAAATATGATTTAGAGACTAATTAGCTATCCCCCCCCCCTAACTTCTATCTTCAGTAATATTTTGTCACTCGAATTATTTTGGTGATACCAAGCGATATTCGTTCCACAGCAAAAGGAGAAAATCCAAGACATCAAGTAACCGGGGGTGATGTGGGAGGGATGATGTAAGTCATTCTTTATAGAGAGAGATTGGTTTGTGTTGTTGTAGTTAAGCACAGAGCTACACAATGGGCTATTTATAGTGTGCCCACCACGAGTATCAAAGCCCGATTTTTAGCGTTGTAAGTCCACTGGGGGCTACAGAGAAAGTGGTTAACCAACAAAAATAGTCACTCAACTCTTTCTTCCAACAGACGTATTTTAGATTATGGTAAAATATATAACATTTTTTTAAAGATTCGCTAGCTCTTCTGCATTTTTGTATTTTTTACTTTTCATCCACAAAATAGATGCGTCACCATTTGTCAGGATTAAAATTAGCTGTTAAAACAGGCCCATCTGTTAAACTTTATGGTGAAAATAATAAATAAAAAGTTATTGATGCTGATTATCATGTTGCATGACAATAAACATTCCCTGTGCAAATATTGACTTTTGGTCGTCCACCTCTTGTGGGTTATACACACCAGAGATGTGTGACGTTTGGTCGTCCACCTCGATACAGTTGTGGGTTATACACACCACAGATGTATGACGTTTGGTCGTCCAACTCGATACAGTTGTGGGTTATACACACCAGAGATGTATGACGTTTGGTCGTCCACCTCGATACAGTTGTGGGTTATACACACCAGAGATGTATGACGTTTGGTCGCCACCTCGATACAGTTGTAGGTTACACACACCAGAGATGTATGACGTTTGGTCGTCCACCTCGATACAGTTGTAGGTTACACACACCAGAGATGTATGACGTTTGGTCTGGTCGTCCATCTCGATAGAGTTGTGGGTTATACACACCAGAGATGTACTGAAGAAAGTAAACGTGATGCAGGTAGGTGGTAATAAGGAATAATATATTTCATAACATTTAAATATCCAGTTTAGGATATCTCTGATAACGTTTATGGATTATCCTCAAAACATGGCTGTTTGGACTCCTACAAATATATGATTGAATCTCAAATTTATCGTACAATATACGCTTCGAAAACAATAAATCTAAACGCCAAATCACAGTGTTTAGTTAATTGAGATGCTGTTTTTTGAGTAGGAAAGTCACATTAAATTTGTTATCCCTACTCTTCGGCCAGTGATAGCTACAACTTTATCGTTACGTTAATTTGTTGATGGCCCCTTTCCTTCACTAATTTTGTCTCGGTTTGCTGGTTGGTTCAACTTTAGAAGGTCTTTCAAAAGAGAAAGGTATTAGGGATCAAAGTACTGATTTCGAATAATAATGATAGAAAAATTTAAGAATAAAATACCATTTCTTTAAATGGCGTCATCAACGTTCAACACAAAATCAGGCTTAAGTTTTGTTCTTTCAATTTCCAACATGCAGTCTAAAATGTCTTTATAAAATCCAATTACAAAGCGCTGAAATTCTCTTTGAGCGAACCTTCATTGTCTACAAATCAGTTTGTTACAATTATAAAGGTTTACGTTAACTACTAATACAATTAATTAAGTGCCTTCTCTCTCTACGAACTTCTACAAAAATTCATATAATTATGATACAGAATAGTAGATTAAACACCTAAGGATAACAGGGCAAGTGTAAAATGTAATAAAATAACACTTTTACGTAAACGAGAAAAGATCTTTTATGTTAGTTAACTCTTAGAAGCGGAAGACACTTAATAAACTAAAATAAGTTTTTCATCTAATATAATTACTAATACATCTATTAAAGTTTTAAAAGAAAACTATTATTCACGAGACAACAATAGTTTTATAAAAATAAGTTAAGTATTTAAAATTTTAGGCTCATGGAAAGTTATTAGTCGCTCAAGAATACAAGAAAACGTATTATCAGACAGAAGTACCTTGAAGTATAAATCCATTGTTTTTCTAAATTGGACTAGTTTTTAATAGGAACATGAAATTCGATACCACCAGACCGATAAGAGGTACAGAAATTTAAGGATTCACGTGTTTCAGAAATATATTTAAGGTCCTCTGACGTGTAAAATCAGAGAGTTTTTTAATCCATCATGATGGATCTTTACTCTCAGCCTCGAATCTTTTTTTTCTATCTATTCTATAAATGTATGTTACTCTCTTTCTAACCCTGGTGGCGACAAAACCATCTGGCTTTCAAGGTGATGATTGTTTTCTTTTCTTCCAAATTCTTTGTCACTACATCCTTCTCGTAGCTCTTCAGGGTGACGTATCATTTCTGATTCTTCAGGAGATGGAAATATTCGCACTTTCTGTGGTGAAAAATCAGTTCTCCGCTGCTCAGAAGAACACCCTGCTTGTAACTTATTAGAAGAAAAACCTAATTGTGACTTCTGAGGGGGACAACCTGTTTGCGAATCTTCAGAAGGAAAGGCTAATTGCGAATTCTGATTTGAACAATCTTTTTGTGAATTCTCAGAAGGAAAACCTAACTGTGTCTTCTGAGGAGGACAACCCGTTTGTAAAACCTGGGGAGAAAAATCTAATAGTAGCTTCTGAGGAGGACAAGTTGTCTGCGAATCCTCAGGAGGACGCACTGTTCGCAGATGAGTAAAAATGCCTGTATTATCTGCAGTGCTAGAATGTGTTTGCAATGTCCTTTGACTACTTGTTGATATTAGGTTCAGAGGAGTATTGTTGCTGACTGAATTCTGAATCACGGGTATTTCATTCTCCCTTCGCTGAACTAATTCGTTTATGTAGATAGGTGGTAAATAAGGGAAGAATAAATTAGGACGAAGCTGTGACATTTCACCAGACAACGCGGGATGAGGTGCTCTAAGAACCGCTGATTCCACTGACACCCTGTTGGGCCCCCTTCGTGATGTGCTGTTTGACCACATGTGTGTTCCCATGTGCACTTTGAGGTTCCCCTTTGTAGTGAAAGCTCTGCCACAAAAGTTACACTTAAAAGGCCTGTCTCCTGTATGGGTGCGCATATGAATATTAAGCGCACTGCCACTAGAAAAGGGTCTGTTGCAGATGAGACATTCATGTTTTGAAACTCCTGCTGACCTCTTAGGTATTGGTTGACGTTGACCATTTTCATGCGGTCTTTTATTTTTATCGTCATTTGACAGATGTTTAGTACTTTTATTCATGGAGGTGAGGGGAGAATTGCTGACTGTAGGTAATCTCGTGGTTGTTGTGGCGCCGGAAGGAAAAGATGCTGGGTGGTTCTGCGTAGAAATATCGCTAACTTTATGAGTTAGCATATGCTGCTTCATATTTCCTTTGGTAGTGAATCCTCGATTGCAAAGGTTACATCTAAACGGGCGCTCTTTGGTGTGGCTTCGAATGTGGATGACTAGGGCACTGCTACAAGCGAATGTTTTGAAACAAACACCACAAGTTGTTCGATGAAAACCTGGCGAAGGAGGGAAAGGAAGTCCAGACAAAGAAGCCGCTGGCAGTGGAAATGTTGATTCACAAGAAGATGGAGTTATCACGGGGGACAAACCCTGTGATCTAGGTGTTAGATCTAGGACCCCTCGTTCAGGCTCTGTAGCTAATGGTAGCGATTTTAGTTTTGATGAATCTGGAGATGTTGATAGCGTATCAACATGTTGAGAAACTTTTGGCAAAGTTTCTGGTACTCCTAATAAACTACCACTCAGTCTTTCTTTTTTGGATGATTCTAGATTTTCTATTTTTGCTACTTTAGAATCAAGACTGGTAGGGAACAAAGTAGTATGTTCATTTTGAAGTGTTAACAGATCTTTCGCTTGAAACCCCGGAAAAAGTGCATTGTGTTTAGACAAAGATGTCACGTCAGTGGGACTACGAGGAGACTTTTGCCAGTTGATTGTTTTTACGTGGTTCTCCAGCGCCGTCAAAGATGTAGTATGAAACTTTAGACTTTCTTGGGATACGACAATTTCCTTGGTTTGAAGAGTTGACGGTTCAGAGTTCAGATGTAACGTTTTGGATACAGAGACATCAGTTATATTATCTCTGTCTTCTAAACACCGACGTTCAAAATCGACATCATTGTTTTCAACAGATGAGGGTTCCATGGAGCCTGAGTTACTGTTTGGTGATGTTGAATTATCAGAACTTCGAGGTGAAGAACGCGGAGAACCAGATGCTTCGGGAATACCGCTGCTTAAAATCTTGTTAGTAAAAGAAAATGCCAGACTTTGAGAATGGATTGAAATTATTTGCTGATCATCACTAGTAGCTGTAGACAACCTTGTCATTACGTTTTTCACGTCCTCTGGATAGGAATCATTGTTTTTCCATTTAACAGACATTCTTTCATCTGGTCTGACCGTATGTATCATCATGTGTGTCCTCAGGGTTTCTTCATCAGGGTAAGTTGACCCACACAATTTACACTTAAAGGGGTGTTCATCAACATGAATACTATAATGCATTTTTAACGCACTTTTATTGCTAAACGCTTGGTGGCATACTGAACATTCATTGTGATCCACGGTAACACTAGTTTCTATTTTGTCCACTAAGCCCTGCAGATTTGAAGTATCTGGAGAAGTTGATTTTCCTGTTAGATTTTCCGAGGATTTATCGCTGTTTCCAAAAGTTGACAAGATACCTTGATAAGACGATAACTGAGTATCAAGTTTTGAGATTTCTGACCGTTTCTCTGATTCATTTCTAGTCTGCAGAGGAAACTTGGTCCAATCCGAAAACTTAGGTTCTGCTTGAGTGTTCTTGGTTAAAGTGGCAGAACTTATGCTAGAGGGAGTTGCAGGAGGTGAAATTGAGCTCTCTTCAGAAAAAAGGTAACTTTGAATTTCACCCTTTTTCACTATTTCTGCATCCATATATTCAACTTCACCTTCTAGATGGTTCTCAGGAGAAGAAGAATCAAGTGTACCAGTAACAATAAAACTGTTATCTGAAGAATCTGTTGCTATATTAAAATTAGTACCTTCACTTGTAGGTTTCATTTTAACTTCTGCCTTTGAATCAACTGGGCTGGAGTCAGTTGACTTAGTTAAGTTGTCTTTTAAATTATCTCCTTCAGTTAACTGAAATTGGGAAACAGGCGGTGGTAATTCAGCCATCATTCTTGGCTGAAAAATAGGAAATGTTTGAATATTTCCCATTTCCTGAAGGACACTGCGTTGCATGGACTCTGTTAAAGATATCCGAGGCTCTAGAGATGGAAACACCTTGTCCAGGTGTTCGGGAACTGGGTTGGGATTCATCTCAATATCTGGGTATTTAAATTTATGCCGCTGAAAATGAACTTTCAAATTACCTTTGGTCGAGAAGCGGTTCCCACAAATGTTACACTTAAAAGGCCGTTCTCCAGTATGAGATCGTATATGTATCTGTAGTCCACTATCGCTTCCAAATATCTTCCTGCAATAACGACACTGATGTCGAGATAATGTTGATTTCTGGGATACTTTCCCTTCTTCTTCCGATACACTGGTTTCATTTCCACTTTCAAGTCTTTTAATATCATTTTCAATAACAGTTCCTTTATAGAAAAAATGCCCTCCGGACATCGTGTTCTGAAGAGCTTCTTCAGTATGTCTTTGCAGAAGTTCTAGTGTGTTTGGTTCTTTGGAAACCACGAAGTCACGACGTTGGTGAGTAACAGCTGGAGTGTGTGGTTCGAAACAAACGCCTAACTCATGGTTCTGAGGTGGTGTTTCATTGTGAGGAACTGAGATAACAGGTTCTTTGGACTGCTGAATTGCAGTGAGGCTTCTTTCAGGGCTTCTTTCACGGGGCATCTTTTTACCACTTATTTGAACTTGGAGTTCTCGAATGACTTGAAGCTGTAGAAACTGCTGTTGTTGTAGGCTATTCAAAACTGACTGAAGAGCTTCCAGCTGTTCGCATTGTCCTTTTGTAGAATAAGAAATTTTCTGAGGTCGTGTCGCTTGTACATCTTTTAGAACATTTAGGAAACTATCAGAAGAAGGCGTCTGTTGCATAGAATCAAGAAAATGAGGTAGGTTATTTCTTAGAAAAGATGAAGATCGGTCTCTACTTTTAGTAATCATTTTTTGATAACTGTTACACCGTGTAGGTGAGTCACTGTAAAGAAATTTTGTAGTTGATAAAGGCTGTACCAGGGAGTCCACTTCGTCCATATCTCCCCACCTATCACGTGGCCAGCTTTTGACACATGGCTCCAAAAAGGAATCGCGTTTCCAGTCCTCCAGTGTAGCCATTAGTCGTTTTGTTACGCATGTTTTCTTGTGTGTAAGGAAATCTTCAAGCTCCATAAAGCCACTTTGACAATTCCCACAAACGTGCTCATCTCTGTCGTCTCCGCTTGAATCCCCTGGTGTTAAACAGATCAAACAAAAGCTAATTAGTAGTGTGGTCTACTTATGTAATACACAAAGAAACAAGAGTTTCAAGACCTTTTTTTAAAAAAAAAGACTATGTTTAAAACATTTTACACGTAAATGACTAAAATGAAAACAACTACACTCATTTATACTTGTGTATGGAAGAGCATTATGCTAATATAACAGTATAAACAAAATGAACATTGGTCTGTGTTCTTCTGTAGTATGTTTCCCAAAATAAAACCACTATGTTTATAAATCATCATTTGTCAATTTACTGTCATGTGTAAGTTTTCTTATAACAAAGCCACATTGGGCTATCTGCTGTGTCCACCGAGGAGAATCGAACCCCTGATTTTAGCGTTGTAAGTCCGAAGACTTACCATTGTCCCACTTGTTGATAACAACGTGTCTAAAATGAAATGATTATTCATATTTGAATTAGATAGTTTTAAATCATAAAAATGGTTATGCCTAACATGATAGATACTAAGTGATACATGTATTTACTTTTATAACAGGAACTTTAGTTTCTGACAAATCATTACAGGTTCCGATGTTTAGGATTAATATACTGTTGCGATTTTTCCTGCTCTTGTTACTCAGAGTACAATGTCAAGGTTTCTCTGCATTTCATTTGTTTCACAGAAACGCGCAAAAAACAATCATTGTTTTAGAAACAATTCAACATACAAAGCTTTTGTGTAAAAGCTCAGATGTGATATTTAACTGAAAAATTTGCTTACCGATCAACACCACCTTGTGACGGTTAAGTCCCACCACCAGGAGGTGTGGTACTGCAAGAGAGATCACGTTCTTACCAAAAGGAGTTCTATATCCCCCCCCCCCATGTGTTGGGTAGGTACATCAGTTAGTGATACTAATAAGGGGTATATAATAGTGCTGTTGAACTTAAGCCTATCTATTCTTCATTGAAATACCTTCCCAGATAGATAGATATACTGACATCTAATAAAATCTCCCAAACATTCAGATGGGATTTACATAATTTGTTTTTTTCTAAATAATCAAGTCTATAAATTTGTATTCAAATATTTCATTTGTTTGTCCGTTAATAAGAAAAGAAGGTACTTTTTTTTAACAACACTTGTTAGAAGTCGAAACTTACATATAATTGAGCTAATGTAGTTAACAAACCAGTATTTAAACCAACTTCGGTCCATTTCTCTCCTTACAACAAACCAGTTTATCCATCACACTTAGAATTACTGATTAAAAAAGAATAAAACTCTTAATATGTTGAATGTTATATCCTTTCTCACTTAGAGTTATTTTGAGATAAACCATCTTGAACTTTAATTGGAACTGACCACACAACAAAAGACAGCAAGGTACGCTTCAGATGCAAATATGGGCAAGCCTGTAGTTATTATTGTATTATGTAGTTAAGAATAACATACCCTGACGAAGCCTTTGACTGCATCACAATGGGCTATCGCAGTCCTTCTGTAAGCATTGTATATCCTCTGGTCAAGCATTACCGTCCAAAGCTTCTAAGTCAACTTTTACCTACGATATTGATGTTCTATTCCGATTCTCTCCAAATCATTACAGCTCACTAGTTCTGGCAAGCTGTCACGTTTTAGAATGACCAGCATTTCAAACCATGACCACTTAGGTTGACAGTATTTGCCCTTCTTACGTCATTCAGTGCGTTTATTGATTTTTTAAGCACTCCCTAAATTTTTATTTTATTTTATTCGTTTTGATGGAGAACCGTTGTAAACGTGGTCGGGGCAATTTGAGGGACACATTCGACCATAACAAAATGTCCAGTATGGGCCACGGTTCGTACGAATTTGAAATCTGCCCGTAGTTTGAAGTCCCCCTCCCCTTTTCGTCATTGTTAATCGAATATGTCAGCGACTACTGAAATCTGCCCGTAGATTGAAGACCCCCCCTCCCCTTTTCATCATTCTTAATCGAATGTCAGTGACTACTGTAAAGCCCGTGATTGTAAACACATCTTGCCATTTTTCAGTGTGGATGAAATTCAATAACACAATAGCTGTGCCGATGTCGCTGTATGAGTGTATAAAATATAATATTGTAGCAGATGTATAGCGTATATCCATAAAACTTGCACTCAAACACAGAATTATGATGTATATCAACAAACCTTGCAGTCAACAAACAGAAGAATAATGTATATCCACAAATCTTGCAGTCAACAAACAGAATAATAATGTATATCCACAAACCTTGCAATCAACAAACAGAATAACAATGCATATTCACAAACCTTGCAGTCAACAAACAGAATAATAATGTATATCCACAAATCTTGCAGTCAACAAACAGAAGAATAATGTATATCCACAAACCTTGCAGTCAACAAACAGAAGAATAATGTATATCCACAAACCTTGCAGTCAACAAACAGAAGAATAATGTATATCCACAAATCTTGCAATCAACAAACAGAATAATAATGTATATCCACAAACCTTGCAGTCAACAAACAGAAGAATAATGTATATCCACAAATCTTGCAGTCAACAAACAGAATAATAATGCATATTCACAAACCTTGCAGTCAACAAACAGAAGAATAATGTATATCCACAAATCTTGCAATAAACAAACAGAATAATAATGCATATTCACAAACCCTGCAGTCAACAAAGAGAATAATGTATATCCACAAATTTTGCAGTCAACAAACAGAATAATACCGTATATCCATAAGCATTACAGTCAACAAACAGATAACCTTATATCCATAAACCCTAAACATTCAATAAAAAGATAACACTGTATATTCATAAACTTTACACAGTAAATCTATATATCGACACAGTCAACAAACAGAACAACACGGCATATCTATATATCGACACAATTAACAAATATAGCACTGAATATCTATAAACTTTATACATTCAACAAATAGAATAACACTGTGTATATCCCTATACCTGATACCGTATACAATGAAATTGCAGATATTCAAACAGACAGCTAAATTCTGAGTATTTCCAGACATCGACTAATTTATTGCAATTTAGTTATTTATAAAAATCGAAGTGTTAGGATAATTGTATTGCTTTATTTCACGCCTTATGAAGGGTATACTAAGAGAACCTCTCACGCTAACATAGAAAGTGTCTTCGCTGAGTAAACAAATATACTGAAAACCAAAACGAAACATATGAGCACATACTTTGTGTCAATAAATAATAATGTTTCAGGATGGATTAACGGTAAGCACAAGAGCTTATAATCCTGTAATTCTGGGCTCGATCTCCGCGGCGGACACAGCGCTGATAGCCTATTGGACAGCTCTGTGCTCAAAGAAACAAATAATAAATAACTAAGTTATATTTCTGTTCAAACTCAAATGCGTCGGGGAATTTTCTAAACGTGCTGTTCTTTTCAATTAAGTGGTTAGTGTAGCCTAACTACAAATCCGAGAGTTTGGAGTTCACGTCCGTTGCTGCCAAAACGCGCTTGGAGTTTCTAGGCTATGGACAAACTATAAAAATGACTCAAATCCCACAGCTTGGTCAGACAATAGTAGCCCAAGAGTTGGGGTGGGTGCTATTGACTAGCTGCTTTCCCTCTAGTTTATAAGTTCAAAAATAGGGACGGCTAGCACCGTTGGCTCTTGTGTAGTTTTGTGCGAAAATTCTAAAAACAAACAAATCAAACAGAACTTGTCACATACGGTGAACTTATGCAATAACAAGAACGAAAATAGAAACCGTACAATTTATGTTTCTTCTATATAACACTGGTGCTATGTGAAAACAAATGTCCATTGAATTTAATTTCGATGACGAGGAACCCACTTTGAGACTAATAATGCTTGGAGACGACTTGAATGGGTAATGAAGAAAAACTTTAATATATAAATTTAACATAACAACAAATGTACAAATGTCCATTGAAGTTTGCATGATTGGGGCACCATGACCTGAGTAAACAGTCAGATCTAGTGACGGAATTAAATGAAGTTCCAATTTCTTGTAAGTTGTAAATACTTGATTTAAACGTTTGTCACAGGACTCAAATAGATTTAGTGTTTCTAGAGAATAGGGTAATTACGTTAAAACAGGATCAGATTAATCAAAAGGTAAGGTAGGCAAATGTCTACGAGTCCACGGCGTCAAAACGCCTAGAGTGGTTATGTTTTTTCTTCTTCTAAATAGCCTGTTCATATAGTTTTAAGTTGGGGAGCACTATTTTAAATTTATATTTGGTAAACGATTGTTTTTATTAGTAAAATTTCATGTGAAAAAAAGAAGAAAGACTGAAGATGCCAATGTGGACCAACTGTGGTTTTTAATTCGGCTTCGCGTAAAGACAGTCAAGCATTAATACTTTTTGAAAGGGAAGAACGAAGCTTACTAAATTCGAGAACATAAAAACTAGAAGGATTATTGAAAACGTATTCAAACAATAATGACTCAATGTACAATCTACCTACATACTACTTAGGCACAAATGCAACACCTGTCAACTTTTCAACGTCTCACCTTTCTTCTGCATCTATCTCAACCTAAGACTGTGGCTATAGCCATCTTGTGTGAAAATATCGTACCAGTGACTCTTCAGCATCTGGCTCAACTCAATACTACAGATGACAATATTGTAGCATATAGCTTGAAGGTCGCCTGGTCACGAGAATAAGTTCCTCACTCGATAGTAAATGTCGACTCTGATAGACGAGAGCTCAGGTTATTCCTTTCTTCTGACATAACCGCCAAGAGGAAGCTACCCCGTAATTGGTGCATAATTCAAGGTTATTGGAGTACGATTTTCTGAGGGCGTTTGACGGATTTATGGTCCATTCCCAATGTACTTCTCTTGTTCTTAGTATTTATACTTGGCTTCCCAGTATCCCTGGCCGAGTCCACTGTTCTTTTTTATTCATCCTCTCATCGATGTTTTTTTTTTTTATGTACGATGGAATTATTCATTCCCTTATTCTGTTCTCTGTTTGTCAGGTCTTATTAGAACTGAAACA